ATTGATTTAGCACCTACTACTCACTGTACGGACATCTCATCTCATCCTCTTGACAACTGCACAACATGATTATTGCCTAATTTTGAAGATAAGAAACTGAGGGCCAGGCACTGTGGCTCACACTTTATAATTCCAGCACTTTGGGAGGCCAAGGCGCGTGGATCACCTGAGGTCAGGAGTTCAAGACCAGCCTAGTCAACATGGTGAAACCTTGTCTCTACTAAAAATACAAAAATTAGCTGGGGATGGTGGCACATGCCTATAATCCCAGCTATTCGGGAGGCTGAGGCAGGAGAATCGCTTGAACCTGGGAGGTGGAGGTTGCAGTGAGCCGAGATTGTGCCACTGAACTCGTTTGGGCAGAAGAGCGAAACTCTGTCTCCAAAAAACAGAAAAGAAAAAGAAACTGAGGCATGGAATGTTCCTTCTATGTGCTAGGTATTGTCCTAGATCTAGGCACTTTGTTTACATGAGATCTCTTTTAAATCTCCCTATGCTGGCCTAGTCAACATCAAAATGCTGGGATTACAGGCGTAAGCCACGTGCCCAGCTACGCTTTTTAATTGTACTGCACTGTCCCTTTTTTGGGCAGGGAGTGCTGGGAAGGGTTTTGCCAGATTTATCAAAACAAAACCAAAAAGCTAGGATGACCAGTTAAATTTTAATTTAAAATAATGCATTTTTTGAGTGTTATACTGATGTCCCAAATATTGCATGGGATATACTTGAATTAAAAATTATTCATTGTTTATCTGAAATTCAAGTTTAACTGAATGTTCTGTAATGTATCTGGCAACCCTAATTCTTCTTTCTCCTGCTTCCAGCTACCAGCTAGTTCTGCCCACAGCTTGCTCTTTAAAGGCTGGGCGCGGTGGCCCACGCCTGTAATCCCAGCACTTTGGGAGGCCAAGGCGGGCAGATCACGAGGTCAGGAGATCGAGACGATCCTGGCTAACATGATGAAACTCCATCTCTAGTAAAAATACAAAAAAACCCCAAAAGTTAGGCGGTGTGGTGGCGGGCGCCTGTAGTCCCAGCTACTAGTGAGGCTGAGGCGGGAGAATGGCATGAACCCGGGAGGCGGAGCTTGCAGTGAGCTGAGATTGTGCCACTGCACTGCAGGCTGGGCGACAGAGTGAGACTCCGTCTAAAAAAAAAAAAAAAATTAGCTAGACATGGTGGTACATGCCTCTAGTCCCAGCTACTTGGGAGGCTGGGTTGGGAGGATGGCTTGAGTCCAGGAGGTTGAGGCTGCAGTGAGTTGTGACCGTGCCACTGCACTCCAGCCTGGGTGACAGAGTGAAATCTGTCTCAAAAACACAAAACATACACACACGCACAAATGGTGAGGCCCTGTGGGACCAGCTGTGCTGCTGTGTCTCTAGCCTGATGAAGGGACAATGAACTCTTCTGCTCCAGAGGGCAGAGCCCGGGACAGCTGCCAACTCTGCACCTTCCATGTAACACTGGGCAGGTCTGTTCCCTCTCGGAACCCTCTGTAAATGGAAGATCCAGTATCAGGTACTATGTAACTGCAAGTCTCCCTGCAGGCCCTAACTTTGCTAATTATTTCTTCTCCCTTTTTCCTGTCTGTCGGGCTGGACCTGGCCAAGGATGAAACCCAGTCTATGGTTGTGCTGTGTGAGCAGAGGACATGCAACACCTGGGGCAGGGAACCCAGGGGAGCAGTGCTTGTCAGAGGCTGAGGGGAGGAGGCTGGGCAGAAGGAGCACTCAGAGGCTGGGGGCTGAGGCTGCTGGGAAATGAGCCACTGACAGATTTTTTTTTTTTTGCGATGGAGTTTTGCTCTTGTTGCCGAAGCTGGAGTGCAATGGTGCGACCTCCGCTCACTGCAACCTCCGACTCCTGGGTTCAAACAATTCTTCTGCCTCAGCCTCCCAAGCAGCTGGGATTACAGATGCAAGCCACCACGCCCGGCTAATTTTGTATTTTTAGTAGAGACAGGGTTTCACCATGTTGGTCACGCTAGTCTTGAACTCCTGACTTCAGGAGATCTACCTACCTTAGCCTCTGAAAGTGCTGGGATTACAGACGTGATCCGGCCCTGTCATTGACTGTTTTTATTCTCCAGAGGCGGCAGCTTGCTGAGCATTCAGACCCAGGCTCCCAGCCCCACCTGCACTGAAAGGCTCTGTGATTTCAGGCAAGTTCCTGAACTGGGGCAAGTGCCTCAATTTCCTCCGCTGCAAAGGGGAACTAATGCTTACCATGATGTATCTAAAGTGCTCGGCACGTAGGAGGGGCTTAATGAAGGGCTATTATTGCTATTGTTGGTATCCTATTTTATACATATATCCTTCTGGAAAAAACCTCTTGAAGAAAGCTAACCCCTGAAAGGACAAACACATTTCAGGCCCTCTCTGAGCTTCGGCAAAGAACACAACACATTCCAGGCTGCCTTCGTTCCAGCTAAATTTTATTTGTCGGATTTTTGACAGACGTCTAAATTATACATTGAGTTTTCCACATGACCAAACACCACGTCTCTTCCTTTGATTATCATTTTCAAAAGGGATTATAAAAAAAGAACCTTTTGATGGATCAGACTGAACCCTGAAACCACATGGAGTGCAGAGCTAAAAATAAAAGGAAGTAAGAACTGGTCCCCGAGAAGGAAAGGAAAGGGAAATCAAAGCAAACTCAGACGGGAATGGAAAGACGAGTCCTGGTGAGGGTGACATGGTGTCACCCTCCGGGCCAGGCCGGATAAGGAGCGGCCAACAGTGAGGGTGGGGCGCAGAGTGGCACAAAAATAGCCACTACTTTAGTCCAGAGGGGAATAAAGAAATTTGTCAAAAGCCAGGAGAGAGAAGTGGAGACGGAGGGAGGGAGGAAGGAAGGGGGCAGGACCGTGTCCTCCCAGCAGCCGTGGGAGCTTCGGACTCCTTTAACCCTGGCACATTTCTAACCGCCGGCATAATCGCTGACTTTCAGCTGTGCACCGACATGTTCCCCAGCTCAGCCCACATCAATGACACCCTTGTTTCCATAGTAACCAAGGGAGAGTGAAGGGGAAAGGGTGTGTTGCACTGGGTGCAGGGAATCCAGCCAAAAGCAGCCACACGGGGTAGGTCGGGAGGAGGGGAGGACTCCAGTTTTTCCCACAACTGGCTTGAGCACATATCAGGAGCGCACCCCCAGGCCTCGCCCGCCCTCCGGCCTCCAGCCCTCTCCCCCGCACATTCAGATGCAATTGTGTGCAGGGCAAAAGTCTCACTAAGACTCACTGGGGACGGGAGGAGGAGAAAAAGGGTCTTCCCTTTCCAGCTTCAAATTCTGTCTTCTGGTCAGGGGGCAGGAGTGGGCAGGGAAGAGGCAAGAGGGCTTTAAAAAGCATTTTGTTTTTAAATGGGAGCTTTCAAACTCTGCCTTTTTCAGGCTTCTCTCATCTACCCCAGAGCCCCAGGAGGGTTCAAAAGGGCTCAAAGGGAAGATGAAAGCGTGTGACATCTGCAGCGTCTCTGTGTCTCTGCAGCTGAGGAGCAAATCGGAACATTTACAGAGGCCGTTATCAGAGGAGTGGCTTCTGCCTGCTAGCAGAGGCCTTGGGAGGGCTCTTTAAAACAGTCCCCTAAGTTGGTGGTAAAAGAACAAAAATATTTTACAGACCCTCCACCGCCAGAGTCAAAGTTCCATAGTGCAGTGTTCCAAAATTGCAGACCTCCAAGCAGGCATTTTGCCCCTCAGATAACTTGTCCCTGATGAACTATTTGGAAGAAAAAACAATTTTCAAGTGCTAGAGCCACATTTGCAGCCTGGTAGAAGGGGGATTTCTGATTTCTCATAATTCTGTGTTGCCTCTGTTCAAAGTAGGAGAGGAGCTTGGGTGAGCCAGAGAAGCCAGTGGAGGAGGCTGCAGAGAGCAGCTAGCTCTGCGGTTTAAAAAAACCCTCACTTTCGTTTTGCAAGTCCTTACAGGTCTGTCCACAGCAACTCCAGGGCAGCTTTTCACGGCTGGCTTTGTTAATGACTTTCACGCCAGACCGCTTTTGAAGCTGGCTATGCCTCAGTCTCTGCTGCATACTCTTAGCCAGAAAAAGCTGGGTACCGAGGGCCAGGGGCTGCAGTGGCCCCTTCAGTCTGCTCACATGCCCTGATGGGCTTGGGAAGGGCCACCTCCCAGGATGAGAAGGCAGCTGGCCCCCAGGGACCCACCAGTCACTGGACAGTCTCTTATTCATTCTCTGAAAACCCCTGAGCTCAGGCACCAGAACAGAGTTTAATTCAGCAGCCGGGCAATGCTCTGGCCTGTTTCCCCATGTTTGAAGCTGAGGATTTCTGAGGCTCAGGGAAACGAGCTCGTTTTGCAATGAGGGGCAGGAGGAATGTTCTGCTATTCCTCTCCAATCAATCAACAGAGGAGAGACATTCTGCTGCAGAGAGGCAGAGGAGCCCAGCAGCTGGGGTGACTCTGGCTTCCCTGGACACGACCCCTGCAGTCACACGTACACCCATGTCCTTCCCAGCAGCAAACCCTCTCCACCCCTAGGAGCATCCCACACCACCAAGTTGCCAGCACTGTAAAAATTGATCTCTCTAAAAATCGATCTGCCTGGCTTTTCTCAGTGGAGCAGGTTCATGGTAAAGCTGCATTTATTTCTAAAATCTGATAGCAGCAGCCTATTGTGATCGTTTAAACACAGAATTCTTTGAGCTTTAGAAATCCCATCTATAGGATGGCCACAGAGAAGCCAGCTAATCTCAGAGTCGGCTGCTCACTGCTCCACTGAGCTGGAGAAAGCCTGTTTACGCTAGCCTGAGCCCTCGATGTGAGAGCTTTTTAAGGACCTTGTAATTTTTCTGGAATTAAACCTCCCACCTCTCCTTACATTCCAGATGTCATTACAGTCAAAAGTCATAAGAATTTGCTTCTCTGTGTGGCTGGCTGGGGCGGGGGCAGGGGCAGGGGTGGGTGGGATGGGGTATGTTTCTGTAGTGACTTGTCTGCAAGAAAGGTTTTTTTTTTTCTTTTTTTTCTGTCCAAAGAGTGAGGATTACATACGTAGTCTCTGACCTGCGAGACGATGGGATAGTTTAATTATCTGCCTTTTCTCCCCCCACCCCCACCCAGCAGCTTCCTGCGGGACAGACTGAAGCCTGGCTGGGCTGGTGATGGTAAAAATCACTGACAGCAGCAGCAAACACTGTCTGTGGTTTCAAAACCATGGAGGGAATGCAAGGGACGGGTCAGTAAATAAATGAACTCAGCAAAGCTGCTTCTTCCTCTTTTTTTCTTTTTTTTTCGAGAGGAAAAAAAAGCCCACTGGAATTGTCTAAACTGCAATGCAATCTCTTGCTCATTTAAAAGATCTCATTTTCTAATCATGTGCTTTGAGACATTTAATACTATTTCAATTATGCAGAGGAAATAATATAATTCCTTTATTTGAAAAATGATACTGAACCTCAGAGATCAGTTAAATCTACTGCTGGAATGGGGATTCTTTCTAAACTGTGTTGTTCCCTCTCTTCAAACAGCTGTAGCTGTACACAGATGGAAAAACATTTGGTCAGAAAGCAGCAAATTAGTGTTTTTCAGGACCGAATTCGGCTCCCGCAGCTCCTGCGTCTCCATTCGTCTAGATTTTATTTCTTCTTTGCATTGACATTTTTGCAGACCCAGTTCATGCCATCCTTTGAGGGAAATGGGCAGAGAAAGGCAGTGTTAGTTGTAAGAAAAGTGCCACACGCTCCAGCCTGGAGGGGTGGGCGGGCGGGGGGGTCCCAGGCCCTCCCTCCCAGACCGCCAGCTTTAAGGAGTTTGCTTGGTTCAGGGGCCCACCTCGGTGACCAAGGACAGTGACCTCCCAGGAGGAGGAGGAGGAGGGAGGTCTCTGAGAGCACAAGAGGGAGATGGGAGGGGGAATGCCCAGCGCCTGAACTTGAGATGGGTCCTCAGGAACTCCCTCTGAAAAAATAAACACATCTGCCTGCATCCAAAGCCTGACTGAGGAGCTATCAGGAACGATTCCAGCCATTTTTGGCTTTTTCTAAAAGCTGACCTTTGCTAGGGCATTAAATTCAATAAGCCACCCTTCTGGTGCCCCAGTGTGTTTACAGTGTGACAGTGTACACTTGGGTTAAATTAAATTTCTTTTTGGAAAAACAAACCCACTGCAGTGAGAGTTGAGAGTCACACACCAGGGCGATGTGCATTTACTTCTCTTCCTGCAGCACTTCAGATAGGTTTAAAAGGGTCTGGCCCGCTTCTTATAGCTTTAAGCACCAGCATCCAGAGGGACTGGGGAGAAGGTTCCCTTAAAGGCACAATGACCTTGAAAGCACCCTCTCTTAGAAGGCTGCAGAGGGACCCAGGTAAAAACCACACAATGCCTACAGCCACCTGGCAGGCGGCACAATTCCTATGGATGCCAGGCCTGTCAGAGGTGAACTCCTTCCCAACCCCCTTTGGAGCTAGCCCTGGACACTGCCCTTCCCTAGAGTCTCCCCAACCTTCAAGAGCGTGTAGAGTTTCCTCAGAAGCCCAGAACAAAATCCAAGGCAGCTGCTGGCACGAGTCCTTCCCCTTGCATCCGTAACAGAGGCTCACAGAGGTCCCAGCTACATCTGCATACATCAGCCATACTGGACACGCCACCGAGTCCCACATTTCCTGTGGCCATGGATCTAGCTGCTGAACCTGAACAGCTGAGACAGCTTACAGTAATAAATATCAGCTGACACCCTTGGCCATTCGGAACATTAATCCCATAAACAATACATCACTGCAAAACAACCAGCAGGCATCCTCTCCCCCAGCACATCTGACCGTCACCTGAATTTACAGTGATTACAACTCCGCCAGTTGCTGTCAGTGCACTTGGGCAGCAGAACCAGATAATCTGACGGCTGTCCCAGAGCCGACCTCTGACCTTTGCCAAGATGAGGCCGCGGTGCAGAAAGCCCGAAGGTGGACAGCACCTGGCGGCAGCAGGGGGAAGGGCAGAGGAATGCTGAGGTGGGAGAAAGGGGGAATCCAAACGCATCTCTAATTACAACGGGGTCAGCTACTAACTCTGAGAAGCTAAGGGCAATTTTAAGACCATTTTATGAAAAGGATTAATTTAAAGAGAAGCATGTTTAATTTTAGTAGCTAATTGGTTTCCAGGAAAAAAAAAGATCACCTGCCAAGAGACAAAAAGATTTTACAAATAAAAGAGGGATGAATAAGATACGCATCTTCTCTCGCCTGGGAAGCTGAATAGATCGGCACTTACACGGCACTTTCCACCTTCAGGGGCTTGCACAAGCACTCCAAGGTGGGCACCTCTCCTCTATGGAGGCTCGCAATCAAACCATCTTCTCAGAGAAATCAAGGACAGTGTGCCCACACTATGTGAACAGCGCTTTGCCTTTTTCTTGCTTTATGGCTGATTAAGGAGAGATTATTGCATGTAACTGAACATGAATGCAGGCAAAGAGATAGGAAAAATATTTACTCAGCTGCAGGAGCCCAAAGCAGAAGGTGGAGGGTGCGGGGTGGTATTATACCAGGTCTCTGTTATGGAGGCAAAGGAGGGTTCAAACGGCAGAGCCCTGCTGAGGGGCAGTGTCTGGTGTCTCCAGATGCCTGTGAGGACCAGCCGTGGTGAAGTCCTTCCAGCCACTGTCCTGCCAACAGAGGGCGCGTGGAGGCCAGTCCCTGCCAGCTGACCCCCAGCCTGGGCCCCTGCGGCTGCCGCTGCCGCTGCAACCCTGAGTGTGGGAAGCACAGGGAGTGTAAACAGAGGCCCCTCTAATCTGAAGCGGCTAGGGCTTGGGGAGTGGCATCTTTCTTGTGCTAGCCAGAAGAGAACTGGGCTGGAAGTGGGAGGGGAGGGAAGGGGAGGCATTGGCCAACAGTGGTACCTCCTCAATCACGTGGCCATGGATCTAGCTGGGGCAAGCTTTGTCAGTCACATTGGGGCAAGCTTTGTCAAGCTGCCTCCTGGAAAGGAAAGGCAATGGTGGTGCCCAAGCTCACCCAGGGGAGGCTCCCATCAGACTTGCTGGAGGTTATATTCCCAGAACCTAACATGATGTCTAGCCCACAGCCCACTTAATTCACATCTTTTAAGTCAATCCTTGTAGAAGCCTGTGAAGTAGGTACTAGTGTTATTTCTCTATCACAGCTGAGGAGATGAAGGCACAGGACAGAGCAGGGCAAGGGCAAGCTGTGGTGCCCAGCATGGTGCTCCAAAGCTGCTTACCAGTTCTCCATGGATGTGGGTACCTGCCAGGTGAAGGGCTCTGCCCCAAGCTTATAGAGGAGCTGGGAAGCACCCTGAAGACAGGAAAGGGAGGAATTCTAGTTTTATCCTCCTCATGACTTCCGCTGAACGCAGGGGCCTGAGACTGGAGTAGCCCCAGCCAAGCCTCCCTGCAGCTCTGATAGTGCCAGAGGCTGCTATGGGCCATTCAGTTCTCAAGATTCCTGGGCTGTGGGTATCTGTGTGTGCAGAGGCCTGGCTATCTACCTGGCTGCACAATCCTCACATATTAACCATCCACCCAGACCACCACCTCCAGTGGAAATGCTACATTTAGGGACAACATACTTGCAAGAGGAGGAACCTTCTGCTTCTCATGTTTAAATAAATGTTCCACACTACTCTTGCTTTCATCTGGCAAGGAAGGTTTTTTTTTTGTTTTTTTTTGAGACAGAGTCTTGCTCTGTCGCCCAGGCTGGAGTGCAGTGGCATGATCTCAGCTCACTGCAAGCTCTGCCTCCCGGGTTCATGTCATTCTGCCTCAGCCTCCCGAATAGCTGGGACTACAGGCACCCACCACCATGCCTGACTAATATATTTGTAATTTTAGTAGAGACAGGGTTTCACCGTGTTAGCCAGGATTGTCTCAATCTCCTGACCTCATGATCTGGCCACCGTGGTCTCCCAAAGTGCTGGGATTACAAGCGCGAGTCACGGTGCCCAGCTTTTTTTTTTTTTTTTAAACAGACAACTGAGAAAAGGTGATCATTTACTTGAAGTAGGTTACTGCTCTGCTTCTAAAGAAGGAAGTGAACTCAGGTTTGTTTAATGGTTGAACTTTTTTTTTTTTTGAGACGGAGTCTAGTTCTGTCGCCCAGGCTGGAGTGCAGTGGCGCGATCTCGGCTCACTGCAAGCTCCACCTCCCGGGTTCACGCCATTCTCCTGGCTCAGCCTCCCGAGTAGCTGGGACTATAGGCGCCCACCACCGTGCCCGGCTAATTTTTTGTATTTTTAGTAGAGACGGGGTTTCACTGTGATCTCAATCTCCTGACCTCGTGATCCGCCCGCCTCGGCCTCCCAAAGTGCTGGGATTACAGGCGTGAGCCACCGCGCCCGGCTAATGGTTGAACTTTTATTGTTAAAAACTGGTTTGACCAATTTTCTGCACATTTGATCTTCATTATGGGGATGACAATCTTACGGTATGAATAGTCCTCCCTTCCTTCCTTCCCCGGACCCTCCCCTGACCAATCTTGCTGAAACTGAATTTGAATTGATTACCTTCAGTTCAATAACAGAGACTAAAGAGAGACATGGAATTTCAAATACTGAGCTTTGTTTGTCCTCCTAGAGAGGAAATACAGTTCCCAATGTCACAATATTATTCTGTCCTATAACCACTGGGAGAAACAGCAGGCCGCCCCTAAGCATACGGGGGAAACTCACTCCTCCCAGAGTTCTGCATCCCAGAAGTTAAGGCGTACTGCTTCTTTCCAAGGGAAGAGTGGTCTCTGACTACGCTGCTCTCTTAAATTTGATCTCTGTACATTGCATCCATCACCGCTCAGTAGTTGGAAGGAAGCGGTGGCAGCCATGGCTGGGTGGGCCTGGTTTTTAGAGCCATGCTGGTTACGTGGTCACAGCAGTAATTGCTTTAAGATGACGAGGTGCTCAGATCCTTGCTGAGCAATGCAGCCTACCCCATTGTAGGCCATCAGGCCCCCACGGTCAAGGAGCAGTTGGATGCTGCGTACATCAAATATGGCTCGCTGTTTTTTTTCTGGTGACAAAGGGTATTGCACCAGAGAGGTAGCGAAATCGAATGTCCTGAGACTGCTTTCTTAGTCTCCAGAAAGGTTTGAAAATTTAAAAATAAACCTGAGGTCTGACTCACAGGTAATAAGCAGTTCCATATATACCTGGAGTCAATAACAACTGATGCCAGGCCTAGAAAAAAGTGGTAAATGTCGTTTTTCAAAATATTGGGGCCAGGCGTGGTGGCTCACACCTGTAATCCCAGCACTTTGGGAGGCCGAGGCAGGCGGATCACCTGACGCCAGGAGTTCGAGACCAGCCTGGCCAACATGGTGAAAACTCGTTGCTACTAAAAAAAAAAAAAAATACAAAAAATTAGCCAGGCGTGGTGGCGGGTGTCTGTAATCCCAGCTACTCAGGAGGCTGAGGCAGGAGAATCGCTTGAACCCAGAAGGTGGAGGTTGCAGTGAGCCAAGGTTGTGCCATTGCACTCTAGCCTGGGCAAGAAGAGCAAAACTCCATCTCAGAAAAAAAAAAAAGAAATTAAAATTCTGTGGCATATTAGGGAGAAGTCCTCCAAATCAAGGAAAATGAAGCAAAACCAAGAAATGGGAGAGTGAGCATTTAGTGTTCCTCCGGAGGCTGACTCGGGGATGGATTACAGCTCGGCACTCGGACTACTCATGGCCCCTTCTGTGGACACAAGGCAGCTGAAAGCCTATGTGACCTGCTCATGGCTCCTGTCTTCAGGAGGAGGAGAGGGACGTCGGGCAGACATTACAAGAAAAGGTGAGCATGAGGGGGTGGCCTGGAGAGCAACACCCAGGGCACGATCTGCTGGCTCAAGGCTATGGGAGGAGGCAAGTCTCTGTGGTGACCATGGCCAGAGGTCAGGTTAAAACTTCGGATCTCTGCTTTAAGAGGAAATTCAAAGCCAGTATCATTTTAATTACACACCACACACACACATGCACACTCGCAGTATTTTAGAGAGAAACTGTCTTCAAATGCCTGAAACTATAACAGCAGGAAGAGCTGTGGTTTGGGGTTCAAATTCAGGTCTGCAGGTGGAGGAGGGATGGATTTCTCGATACCTTTCTCTGGCTCTAAGCCAGATCCTTTGTTCACTATTTTCTAGACACCAAAGGGGGAAAAAAAAAGACTGAGTGTCCCAGTGCGAATATTTCATCCTAGGAGGGGCCCTGGCAACTTGGGCCTGACCTCGAGGGCGCAGAGTGACACTTCCTCCATGTTGATAATGGAGTCTAGCTAAGGAAGGTTTTGGTTCTCCCTCCCAGATATGTTTCAGTTTCTCCTCTTTCCGCTTTCATCCACTTGACATAACTAGGTCTCTCCTCATCACTCCCCTGGACAGTGGGCCTCCTGGCAGGGCAGAGTTTCTGAGATTGAGGATCTCCTTCCACTTCTCGTGCCCTTTACCTACTCTCTGCTCCTGATGGTCTCCCACGAAAACCTGCTTTAATTATACGATGGGCTGGCTTCGCAGTCAGCGCCAATCAGGAAAAGAAACCCCGGGTCCATCCTCTCTCAGAAGTCAGTTTCCACACCTGAAGCAGGGGCTGGTGAACAACACGTGGTATTTCCCACCCCTGTAACGGCTTCGTATGTGCTGCCTTCAGGACACCAGGTGGAATGGGACCCTGAAACCCATCCCAGGAATCACTAACTTTCTTTTCTTTTTTTCTTTTTTTTTTTTTTCTGAGGTGGAGTCTCGCTCTGTCGCCCAGGCTAGAGTGCAGTCACGCGATCTCCGCTCACTGCAAGCTCCGCCTCCTGGGTTCACGCCATTCTCCTGCCTTGCCTCAGCCTCCCGAGTAGCTGGGAATACAGGTGCCTGCCACCTCACCCGGCTAATTTTTCTGTATTTTTAGTAGAGACGGGGTTTCACCGTGTTAGCCAGGATGGTCTCAATCTCCTGACCTCGTGATCCGCTTGCCTCGGCCTCCCAAAGTGTTGGGATTACAGGCATGAGCCGCCGCACCCAGCCAGAATCACTAACTTTCATAGTCCCAAATCATGTGTTTAAGCTACTCCACTAATGAGAAGTGATGTACCTGCCCTACTTCATCCACAGAGGGGCGTGGCTCGCCATCTAGCAGCTCCGTGGCTGTTTCCCTAACTCGCCCCCGTGAGGCTATTATTTAGCAGTACAAGACAGGTCTCCCAAATATGTTTTGATTAAACACGTACAATGTATGTGTCTGTCTTTAAACACTTGAAACTGCAACAGACATTCCAGGTCTTTTTGGTTATTTTTAAACCTTTGTATATTTTCTTTCAGAGTCGTTAGAATCAGATGTCACCTGATTTGCCTATTTAGAGCCTAATCATTTGGGCCAGCTTTTGGGGAGGTGGGGTGGGGTGGGATGAGGAGGAAAAAAAATAGGAATTTAGGGCATTTCAGTAATTATGAAAGTTTTCATGTTTGAAAGTGAACCTCAAACCATTAGATCTTAATGATATTTTTCTAGTAAAGTCTTTCAATTTTAGAATATTTTTAGCCCTAATAAATAAAAATCACTAAAGGCCTGTACTTCAACTAAGCAATGCTGGAAAGGAATTCCACTTAAGTGACTCTTTTTAAGGCAAAAACCAGGAAGCTGGTGTGTGGACAAGAGCTTGGGTCGGAGGCACCACCTAAGGGAGGCATATGGTCAACCAGGGGCTCACAATGAGAAGTATTTCCGCAGCCAAACTCCACGACCTTTCTCTGGTCCCCAAAGGTTACCACGAAAGGACAATAGACAGCAGATTCCCTTCTTAATTAACATTTTTATTAAATAACCCATTTCAAATAATGGTTAAATTCTCTAAATTTATATCATTCTATTAACCATAATCTAATCTCATTAACCTTGAAATCCCAGTCTTAACTACCCAATTCTATACACCATGGTACTATCTACTAAACTAATTAAGTGACCTTCAAACTATTTCTCCTCCATACAAAAATCATTTTTTATTTTTTACTCATAGTTTTTTGTTGGATCTCTCTTGATATCATTTCCTGTGAACTTGGTTGCTGAAGGCCCCAATCTGGGAAGAACTTTCTTATCAAAATCAAATCATATATAATAATCTCACATTACTCACTCAAACTGGTTTATTTTGCAGCATTCCCCTGCCTGTCCCCAACTCCACCCTCTAACTGCCTAGTAGCTTGCTGCCTCTTTTGTGGCCTAAAGATCCTGTGAAGGGCACTGAGTGTCTACAGTGGTTACACAGCCAGGAGCATGGAGCTCTATCCTTTAATCTCCACCTGATGGGAGTTGGGGGAGGTCGGGGGGTTGGGAAGAAAATGACAGGAGCTCCCTCTCTACCTCCAGGCTTCTCTGAAGCAGTGTCCTTGACTTTAAATGCCACGGCTCTAAATACTGATTCTAGATTACTCTAGTCTTCCTTTTTCACATCCCTAAGGCTGGCGGAAGATACAAGAGCCTTACTGTTAATTCTTGCTTTGCTTTTTCTTCAACACTCCGGTCAAGCAAAAGAAAGATTCCAGAGTTGTACTCGCACTTTCTTACAAGTATGCACACAAACTGTATTGCTTTTCTTCAGCCCCACCTTCATAATAGCCCCCAACCTCAAGATGCTCTCAGCTTTCTAAATTTGTGTTCTAAACCCTTCAGACAGGCTCATGCTGAAGTGGTTTGCAGAAACACAAGAAAATTACTATCTTTTCATGGGTCTCATCTTCATCAACATAACCTTAGGCCTTATGACTTCCATCCTGTGTGCAATCAGAGTAAAACATGTTAGACAAATTTTGATTGTTTATTTTTATTTATTTATTTATTTTGAGACACAGTCATGCTGTCGCCTAGGCTGGAGTGCAGTAGTGCGATCTTGATCTCGGCTCACTGCAACCTCCATCTCCCAGGTTCAAGCGATTCTCCTGCCTCAGCCTCCCGACTAACTGGGATTACAGGTGTGCACCACCATGCCCAGCTGATTTTTTTTGTATTTTTAGTAGAGACACGGTTTTGCCATGTTGGCCAGGCTGGTCTTGAACCCCTGACCTCAGGTGATCCACCCGCCTCGGCCTCCCAAAGTGCTGGGATTACAGGCATGAGCCACCGCACTCAGCCTTGATGTTTTAAAAAGCAGCCAGGGCTGGGCAGGGTGGCTCATGCCTGTAATCCCAGCACTTTGGGAGGCTGAGGCAGGCAGATCACTTGGGGTCAGGAATTCAAGACCAGCCTGGCCAACATGGCGAAATCCTGTTTTTACTAAAAATATAAAAAATTAGGTGAGTGTGGTGGTGCATGCCTGTAACCCCAGCTACTTGCAAGGCTGAGGCAGGAGAATTGCTTGAAGCCGGGAGGAGGACGTTGCAGTGAGCCGAGATTGCGCCACCGCACTCCAACCTGGGCAATAAGAATGAAACTCTGTCTAAAAAAAAAAAAAAAAATTAGGGGGAGCCTGCTTTTCCGGTACACAGTTCCTCAGTACAAAGCAGGGGCTTTCTGTCAGCAGAAGCCCCCCAGTGGGAAAACAACCTGAAGTAGCAGGAAACAGACACCAACCCTAGGGCCGGGGGAGATAACCAACAGAAGAAACAAAAACACTTCTCGGATGACTAGGACGTGTATGATTATTGGTGGCTATCACCTTGGAAGGACAGGCAGTTAGCATCCGTAATATTAGACACAACACAAAGTCCCAATCCAATCAATCATCAAAGAATCCTAGAGTTAGAGACAATCCTCAGCCTTCTGTTCTCACATCCCTCCCAATGGGGAAGCTTGCTGCACATGTGGGGTGGCTTACCTGGGGCGCTCTTGGAGCACCTCATGATTTCTGATTGGTTGCTAAGCAGAAAAGAACCAAATTCCTCCATGCCCTTCCTGTCTTGGAATGGCTCATCTGCCCATCAAGATCAGCGCAACCAATGAGACAGACCACCTCGGTTAGCTGTCATGTTGCCAGGTGGCCAAGGCTTCCTGTAATCTTACCTGAACGCCCTCTCCTGTGAGAGCTGAGCAAGACTGGATCTGCCAGACTCGGTCGCGGATGGTATGCAGGTTCAGTCCTTCTGCAATTTCAGAGGCAGGAGCTGCTGTGAGCAAATCCTGCTTATTAGCAAAGATGAGCACTGGCACACAACTTAGTTTTTCTTCCTCCAATAATTCCGCTAGTTCCTGGATTTTGAGAAGGGAGAGGGAGGGAAGGTTAAAATCTATAAATCTATGATATATAACCATATACTACCTTTTTCTCTTTTTCCTTTTTTTTTTTTTTTTTGAGACAGAGTCTTGCTTTGTCACCCAGGCTGGAGTGCAGTGGCATGATCTCGGCTCACTGCAACCTTCGCCTCCCAGGTTCAAGTGATTCTCCTGCCTCAGCCTCCTGAGTAGCTGGGACTACAGGCATGTACCACCACACCCAGCTAACTTTTGTATTTTTAGTAGAGACAGGGTTTTGCCATGTTGGGCAGGCTGGTCTAGGACTGCACACCTCAGGTGATCCACCCGCCTCGGCCTCCCAAAGTGCTGGGATTACAGGCGTGAGCCACCAAACCCGGCCAACCATGTACTTCTAATCAGAAAAAACATAACAGTTAAGCTGATCAGCTAGCAACTTTCAAGAGTAGTGACTCTCAAACTTTTTTCTTTCTCTTCTTTTTTTTTTTTTTGAGACAGGGTCTTGCTCTGTCGCCCAGGCTGGAGTGCAGTGGCGCAATCCAGACTCACTGCAACCTTCTACCTCCTGGGTTCAAGCAATTCTCATGCCTCAGCCTCCTGAGTAGCTGGGATTGCAGGTGCACACCACCATGCCCAGCTAATTTCTGTATTTTTGGTAGAGATGGGGTTTCACCATGCTGGTCAGGCTGGTTTTGAACTCCTGGCCTTAAGTGATCTGCCTGCCTTGGCCTCCCAAAGTGCTGGGATTACAGGTGTGAGCCACTGTGCCCAGTCTGATTATCAAACTTGAACCTGTATAAGATTCCCCTGGCAGATTCCTGGGGCCAATCCAGAGATGCTGACTTTGGAAAGTCTGAGCTAGGGCTCAGGAATCTACTCGCCTAGGCTGGAGTGCAGTGGCGCGATCTCAGCTCACTGCAAGCTCCGCCTCCTGGGTTCACGCCATTCTCCTGCCTCAGCCTCCCGAGTAGCTGGGAATACAGGTGCCTGCCACCTCACCCGGCT